CCCGGCCTCCTCCTCCTCCGCCCATTTCCACCCGCACCCCGCGCCGCCGCCGGGCCTTACCCAGGCCGGGGATCTCGCCCTCGGTCTCCTCGGTGTGACAAGGGTCCATCTTGGCTGAACCTTCCCAACGAGGGGGGAAACGAGAGAAGACAAAGCTCGACGGGGCGGGCGCGGAAGCTCAACGGCCGCCGGAGAGGCGCTGCGGCGGGGGCGGAGATGGCGCTGCGGCCGCGCTCGCGCGTTCCGTGCGGGGACGAGGCGCCACAAAGCCCTAACGGCCGCACCCGGGCCGCCTGCTCGCTGCTCTTGCGCAGCGCCGCTCCCCGCCCTTAAATACCGGCCGCGCGGCGCCCTGACGTCACGGCGCGCTCGCCCCCCCCTCCTCGCCCGCCGCTGGCCAATGGCAGCGCCGTAAATTGAACCGTCCAATCAAGTCGCGAGCTCAGCGCGAGGTGGGGGGGGGGGGGCCTGCCGCCGCCGCCTGCCGCGGTGGGGGGAGGGGAGGCTGCCGGGGCCGCGCGCTCCGGTAACCGCCGCTGGGGGCGGGGGGGGGTGCCCCCCCCCCCCCCCCCCCGGGGTGCCCCGTGCCGCCGTCCCGGCGGGCTGTACCACAGAGTGTGTGCGGGGCGGGGGGGGATACGCCCCAGCTCGACGGCCCATTCCGGCCTTTCGCCCGCCCTGAATCACGACATGGCGGCGGCTTTGTCCCTGCCCCTCCCCCCCGCCGAGCGCAGTGTCGCAGCCGCGCGCCCCGGGGCTCCTCCGTGCGGGACCCGTCGCCCCCGCCGCCGCCGCCGCTTGCGGTCCCGCCGCGCCAGCGCCCGCCGAGGCGGCAGCGGGGGAGGAGCGAGGCCGTGCTGAGATGGCGGCCGCGCAGGCTGCGGCCTCGGCGGCTCCGCCGACGCCTTCCTGGCGCCGAAGCGGGAACAACGGGCCTGGCCGCCCACGGAGCTGCGGCCGGGCGGGGGTGTGCGGACCCCGCCGTAACCGGAGCCTCCGCAAAACGCCCGTACAAAGAAACACGAGCCGGGCTGTGGGGACGGTGCTGGATTAAAATGGCTGTAAGGGAGCCGCGGGCTGAGGAGATAAGCGGTGACCTGAGGCCGCCGAGGTGCCGCAGCTCCTCGCTGCTTTGTTTCCCAGTCCTGCTAATCCGCGCTGCGGTCTCTGCGTCTCTAACCAGGAGTTAATGGTAATTTTTTTTGCCTCCCCTTAGCGCTTATTAAAAAACAGACACCAATTTTGCTTTTAATGTCATTTTACTAGTCTTTTTTTTTCAGTCCCCATCACTGCATTTAAACAACAAGGGAAGATTGATCCTGCGTTGTTTGTGCACCATGAGGCACGTGACCGTGGCTTAGGAAGTGGCTGGTTTCTGGGAACTCAGTTTCTGTGATAAGTACGTTTTGCCCAATATGATGGGGCCTCCCTATGTTCGTGGTGGTGTTTACTGTAGTCAAACAGCATTCAGACAGCAGTTCTCTCTGCAGAGATTGGGAATTGGAAAGCCTCCCTTGCTCACGTGGGGATGATCTCCTGAGTGCCTGCTTTTCCAGTATAATTATTCAGTATTACCAAAAAAAAAGTTCTATTACTTTATTGTATATATGTAGCTACTATTAAAATTACTATTAAAAGGTAGGCGGAGTTCTGGCGTACCGTAAGAGCTGATGCAATGAATAATCTGTTGCCTATAGCCACTTCCAGGGGTCAAGGGTGGCTGTGAACAGCAGAACAACAGCCGTATACAGAGGCAAAGCGAAACCCAACTAGTTACCAGAAGACTTATAATTAGCCAACATATATGTGGTGTTTGGACGATGGAAATAATTATCAGTTCAAGTAGAGCTGCTGTTAACAGCCACAGCTCGTTTCCCAACAGGCCGTGTCTGATAAGTGTTTTGCAAGGAAGGGCAGGTCCGTGGAGGGAGGTGAATGTGAACTGTGATAGGGGCAAAAATCTCACTCTGCAAACATCTGCTTCAGGATTTTATTAGGCTGCTTGAAGCAAGGAAACAGCTAGATGTGTTAAAGACCACGCTTTCGGTCTTGCTTCTATGATTTCTTGTAGGACTGGATTCTAGATGCTAGGTGAGCATCAGGAATTTACCTGTTTTCTTTGTCCTAAGGTGCCTGCGTGACACCTGCCCCTCATTTTCCAACAGGCGAAGCTGAACTGTGGTTTCTATCAGCATGTCCATCAGCAGCTCAAGCTGCAGCTTCAGGTAATTGTTTTCTTCCAAAAGGGCTTTGTTCTTTTTCTGAGTTTCACTGGCCTTTTCCCGCCAAGGGGAAGGGGGTGACTGCAGCCCCGATCGCTCAGGAGGGGAGCTGTTCTCATCTTCCCACTTGCCTTCTCGGAAGACAAGTTTAGCCTCATTCAAGTGAGCTCGGGGAGGGCCATAATCTAAACCAACTTCCGTCTGCCGGGTTTTAAAGTCCACCTGGTAGAAAATGGGCAAAGAAGTGATTTGGCGGAGGGGAGGCCGCTTGGGTAGGAACTTGTGGGAGAAACGATCTGCCCAGCAGTCGCGCAGCCCCTGGGCTACGTTCCCAATGATGTTCATGGTGAGTGGGGCTGTGAGCAGAACAGCACGGACACTGATCCAACCTGCAGAGAGATGCACAAAACTCAGCAGACATGTAAGTGCTAAGCTAGGCCAAAGGAAAGCAAGCAGAGTTCTTCCTTGAAGCCTGTTACCTGCTCCTGACATTCTTCCTGGTACCAGTTTTAAAATGCTGCTTGCAAGATTTCTAAGTTTATTTACTAGGTGATAAAATGACAGGGAAAGTGTACAGACTGGGTTGGTGGTTTTACAGGCTTCTAAACATATGGAAAGTCGTATATATTGCATGTCTGTAGGTGATGCAGATCCTGAACTCTAGCTTTTGGAGGCAATAGTGCAATGCAAATAATTCAACAATAATTCTATATAATTCAACAGTAATTCTATTATATGTAAGCATCTGCCATTTCAGGGAGAAAATAGTGATCAGTGTTTGAAAGTCTGCTTCTGAAAAGATGACAAAACTCATTAGCTGCTGTCTTAGCCCCACTGCTGGGTATTCCTTCCTTGTCTGTCTTTCCTAGCTATGTGTTACCTATTTGTTCTTCTGCTTCCGTCATAAGCCTCATTCCTCATCCCTCAGCTGTCTGCTGTCTTATCCCTGAACATGTTGCTTGTTCCTTGCATTTGCATATAAACATGTATAATTCAGGATCTAACGGTTAATCTGCAAACCTGATTAACCCTCAATAAATACCTCTAGCAGCTCTCATCATCTGAGCTCTGTAAGGGGGAGTGCGAGAAAGTCTCATTCAGCTAACACTTTGTAGGTTTTTCTGTGTAATGTGACCTCTAGTTAAAAGGCCTACAATTCAGTTGGGACCTTTCCATCACTATCCATTGCTTTAGATGTGAGAACCAGCTCCAAGATGCAGTACTGGGACAAATGAAAGCTAAACAGTGCTGTTAAATATGAATCTTATGTATTTTACCAAATAACCTGGTCATACTCATGATCTTTCTGCCAATTCTCAACTTTGCTAGTTGAGCCTCTGCCTCACTTTTGTTTAGGCAAATTATGAAGCTCTCCAGTTATGCTGCACCTTTACTTTCTTCCAACTTCACCTTTTCTGTCTTTATGCTGTAAGTGCTGCTTTGTAACTATGGCCGGGCAGGAGCTCCAGTTTCCTGGCTTTTCTAAATCATACTTTACTACAGAGTCAGTCCAGAAACCAATTTATGAGATTGATACGTGCACTGCTTTAGTGAAAAGCAGACACCTAAGTACCTCTCCTCTCTAAGGCTGCTGCTGTGCTGTTTGAGCACATCACCCTACCCCTTATGCTACCAACTATGCATAGGTCAGGCTCAACATCCATAGTCACTGAGAGGATGGAAGAATTGCCTCTGTTCAGCACCCTCTAAGATCTCGTCCTTTCAGGGCTCAGTTTGGAATTCACCTGCTCATTGTTTTCCTGTTCCTTAGTGTTAACATTTGAGTTTTGTACTGTGGTAATTATGCTAGTTGCTGAAATACCTTTCGCTTTTTATTGGTAACCACTGCCTTTCTGTGCATGCAGTTAGAGAATAGAAGAGGTGTCCTCTTCCAGCACAGCTCAGCTGCGTGCACCTTGAGCTATACTCTGCTGGACTCGGAGCTAGGTGGGCATGAGTCAGCTCTGATCCAGAGGCCATGCAGCCGCGCAGGGCTGTGCTGAGGTGATAAACCTGGCTTCTGAGGAGGCTTCTTTGCCCAAGCAGAACATTCACAGGACATTGGTGGTTCAGTGCTGCAGCCATGGGGAGGGAGGTAGACAGCAGTCCATTTGCATTAGCTGCAACAGGCTTTTTTCCTGCTTTGGGTCTTCAGGCTATTTAAAGCTGAAAATACTTTACAGTGGTGTGACAGTGTCCTAGCACAGTGCAAATTCACCTTATAGGCACTGCCTGAGCTCATTCCTTAAGAACTCCATGCCAAGGACCCACAAGGCTCTGGTATCATGACAGCTTCCAAAGTGCTCAGGGGAGGCTGCCAGTCGGAGAGGGGTGTCATCAGAAACCCACAGCAGTCGATGAACTCCAGCAGGACCCTGGTTTAGCTGCTGTCTATGAAATGGAGCCCGTTTCAGCCACTCACCGATTGTGGATCCAGGAGCAGAGGCCGCGGGGACTCATTGGTTTTGTGCCTGCTGGCATCATGGTCCCATCTCCCCAGAGGCCTTTCCTGATGTCATATTCAGCTTAGTGTCATAGTTATGATAGTGACTCACAATCACTGCTCAGCCTGCGGTGCTGCCTGGGGAGGGGGTGGCAGAGTTACTCACTTTATATATCCCACTCCCCAAAGGTAGCTTTGCCAAAGCTCTTTGGAGTCACCACCTTTCTCTAGTATTGCAGTGACCGTGCAACACGTGCTGCTTACATGATTCTTCCTTTATTCCTGCTCCAGGGGTGCTCTGTGGGACCCCACAGTCTTCCTCAGCGCTAACACTATTTTGACTCTCCCTACGTAGCATTTAGCATTTAGAACCCCCAGCAGGACAGTGCGGTGGAGGCTGGAGCAGGGCACGCTCTTTCCAAAACAACTGCAAGAAATGTCCAAGCTCTCCTCCATAGAGAAGACATTCACACGAGGACACGTGTGAGGCTGAATCCTCCTTGTGTACTCTGACTGCATGAATTCTCACTGCTCTCTAATAAATGGTGATTACTGGTGAAAAACTGATGAAGACAAAGCAAATGGTAGCGTTAAAGTGTGGACTTTCATAGCTGCCTGACCTTGTCCTCCTAAAATTCATAGTGACAAACTGCTTTGGTTCTGCTTGCATTTTTCTATGTTATCTAATCTAGGAATGCGTTTTACTGCATAGGACTGTGGCCTGTGGCAAAGGGAGTATTTCCCTGCAGGGAAGGGGCCTACTTTTACTAGCCTCTGGGAAGCAACCTGTGCCTCCATCCACAGCTGTGCAGCAGTGCAAAGTTGAGCCCAAACACAACGCTGTCACCCTCCGATACGTCATGATGCTGCAGTCACACTCTTCACCCCAGGCCACCTCCGCCAGTGCTTTGCCAGCTTCTCTGGGGCTCCCCAACGTGGACTCAGCATTTGCCCCCATGTTCCCTCTTCCCCCCAGCTGAGCTTCCTCCAGTCTTGCTCTGGGGCACACATGAAGCAGATCTGCGTGGCTTTGTTTATTTAGATCAGTGGGGCTCCAGCGCTTGCTGCCCAGAACGTTCCTCACAATTTTGTCACTGATCAATACATAGTTCAAAATGATCACAGGCAAGCACAGAAATGCTGTCAGGGTGAGGGTAAGCCCTCTGCAGACTGAGCAGATAAAATGGGTCACAATGGTGGTTATTTCTGTTACACAACTCCAGTGTGACTTGCTTACTTTTTCCTTGCTCTTGAAGTTGCTGGAATGTAAACAAGTAAAAACCAGGATGATAACAAGTTGGGGATGAGGAAAAGAGAAGGGAAAGCATCCTACAGTGCTTGCTCCAGATGTGAACTTCCTCATAGTTTGGGTATTCTGGCTCCTGCAAGCTTTGATCCTGGAGCCACTGTGGGAATAAAGACCCATTGAGGAGTCTGGCTACATATTAGCATTTGAATTCCCTTGTAGCTTGTTGTCAATGGGCAGGAGGTGGGTGCTAGTCTTGGTTTCTCAGCACTGATACACAAAGGTGGCTTTAAAAAGTTTAAAAGTCCTTGTTTTCCTGAGGGAAAGAAGTGCACTGTTCAGGATTTGGATGCTTGTGTGTGTGTGTGTGTATTTACAAATACATTCCCTTTGCCCTTTCCAGTTCTCTGCGTCATTCCCTTCCCTGGAGCAGACCCATCTGGATATTACCAGCAGGGACTGGCCCCCTTCCCTGCCTCCCTTGGCTGCTGTGTTGTGGATGCTGGTGCTGTGGCAACGCGGGTGACACCCAGCATCACAAAGCGAGGTCCTTCTAACGGAGCCCTCCTCTCCCAAACACCCGCACAAGGACGTTAGACTTGGGCTTCCAGGAGAAATCCGGGGCTGTGCTGGGTCCGTGCGCGCTCCGCAGGGAGGGCATCTCTCATCCCGTGCCCGTGGTGCTGCTTGGGGCTGTGCGAGCGGTGTGCGCATATCCTGCACAGGCTGCCTCATGACGTGGAGGAAAGTACGCGCACGTGTCCTTGAAGTTTCTGAGATAAAAATAAGCTGCTGGTGCCTGAAAGGCAGCTCTGCAGCTTTACAGGAAGCCTGGTTCGGGGCCTGCCAGCACACACGTGTTCAACGCCCGTGCGCGCCGAGATCCGGCAGCCTGCGCTTGGTGGTGGCGCAGAGCTCTGCGCTTCCACGTCTGCGCCTCGCTCATGGGAACAACATGGATGCGGGGGGAGGAGGCTTGTTTACAAGCTCAGCCGCGGCACCGCTTAGGACGGAGAGGTTCTCATGGTTCTTTGTTGGCCTCCAGCCTGGCTGGCTGCTCCGCGCCGGAGGCGGTGGCCGTGGCGGAGCGGATTTGCTTCCAAATCTCTCTGGCCAAACCCTTGTGCCGGCGGCTGCCCGGGGAGGAAGCAGGAAGGAGCCCGGGAGTCTGCGGGGCGCTCGCAGGGTCCCTGGCGTCATTGCTGAGCTGGCTCGGGAGGATCCCAGCGCAGTGCCCTGGGCACGGGGGCTCCTCAGGCGGCAGCGCTGGTGCCGGAGGAGCCGCGCGGGGCGGGCAGCGAGGCCGAGGCGCCGCTGCCGCCCCCGCCAGGCCCAAAGCGCCGGCCGGGCCCGCGGCGGCC